GTTATTTAAAAGCAAATTTCCACACCACCCGCCGGTCCACCTTATATAGTACATAGCAAAAAAACCGACATTATGCGGAATTATTTCGGAATTAGCAAAATAATTTGGTGCAAAATTTTACACCTTTTGTTTGTAAAAATGTTGAAGAGGTAAAAATATTTACAATTACAATAACTTTAAATAGTAAAAACCAGGATTTTAATTATTTGAAAAAATTTACACTAACATAAGGAATTTACCAAATCAAGTTTAACATTCAAACGAGAGCGAGTAAACCCTTCTCATTCCTAACCGCTGCTGCCATATAAGTAGTTATGACAAGCCAGTGGTTTGCAGTATCAGCAAACAATGTAAAATTAGTAAATTTGTTGATTTATATAAAGTTTTGTACCCGGATTTCCATGCGTGTAAAAATGGAATCAAAGAAATTCGATGGTAGTAGTACTCTGAAAATAATGAGAAAAGATAAACCAAAGAAATACCCATATAATAATATAACGGCAACTACAAACTGATAATAGGCAACATTATTTTGAGCATTTCTCACTCAAAAGCGGTAAACAATTTCACAATGATATTGTCGCGGAATTTGATTGGACTCATTTTCTTTCAGCAACAGCCCCACGTTGGGCGCCATGTCGCGGAATTCCTCTGGTCTCTGTTTCCTTCAGAATTAAGGTTCCCGGTTGAGCGCCTAGCTCCACTAGAAGATAGGTGGGTTGCCGATCTACGGTGACTGTCCCACGTTGGGCGCCACGACGCGGGTGCGCTTCATTCTGGCTTGCTCCCTGCTGAGGAGACCTGTCAGACTCTACCCTGAGCCTCATCAGGAGGTCCTTGACCCGCATGATGGGATTGGCGGGATCGTAGTGTCTTCATCTCCGCTGCGAGTGCGTTAGACGCCTGCTCGAGGACTGAAGAGTTACCTTTTCTTTTTTTTATCCTTCCTCCCTCTTCCGCAACCAATCACCACGGAACCGCCTTTCGGCATTACTTCATGACTGATGGGTTGACTGATTCCGTCATATTACCATTGGTCAGTTACGTGACCACTAATACGTTTAACTACATATAAAAATAAAAACAACCTACCTAATCATACATGTCAAAGACGCGCAAAGACGTTTAAGATTTCATCTAACAAAGACAACCTTCGAAGCGAGAAACAGTTGAAATGGATTACTCTTCTATAATGCCTCTCTGACTTCTTCACGTTGCCTCAATCTTTCCTCTTTCTCCTTGATCTCTATAATCGATTCCAAGCTTCTACTAATACAGTTCCACATAATTTCGCAGGATAGCATTATGTGAATAAGATTCTCTGGACTTATCTCCTCTCCAACCGACAGAGATACCTCATTCTTTCTTGCTTCTCGTCTGCCACTTCCTTTGACCGCAATAAACACATCGGTTATCTCGGGCACTTTTAAATCTTAGAAGGTAGGCCCTGAAGCAGCCGTGCCCTGTCAATACCTGTGTAAGGTAGCTCACGCAGCCGTGCTTTCTCTGAACCCATGGGCAAAGGTCCGGAATAATTTTCCTGGTCCAAGAGTCCACCTCGTCCTCACTCCATGTCTCTTGCCAGAGGTCAAGAATCTGTGCTCTTCTTTCTGACTCTCTGTTCCTAGCCCGGAATCTTTCCTTTACCTGCAGATCCGCTATGACCTGTAGCGCCGCGGTGGATACTATTCTGTATGCTATAGTAGGTCTAATGTCCATCCTTCTTTGTGCCTCAAGAGACTGTCTTTGTATTTGCAATATTTAAGAACATCCGCACAAACCGGCGCAGTATAAAACACTCCTGAGAGGACCACTGTTGCTATGAGCTTCCTCTTCATATTTGAAGGTCCGCCGATATTTAGCAGTATACCGTTTAAGCTCGGCATGGTTCTAGAGGCCTTCGCTTCGATATATCGGACGTGACTGCCCATTTTCGCACTTCTATCAAAAGCCATTCCCAAATAGGTTAGGCTTTCCTTGGTGTCAATACCCCCTTCCGGGAGTAAACTTCTCAGCCTTTGCCCACCCACCTATGCGACCGCTTCGGTCTTTTCTAGTGATGGGAGATTTCGAGTGAAAAATCGAGTGGTACTCGATTATTGAGATCACTCGAGATATCTCGAGATGTTTACTCCCATCACTCGAGTGATTATTACCCTACGGTTGCACCCCAAAATGTTAGTGTATACTGCAAATAGTCACTGATTGCGTAACCTTTTTTTTTTTAAATAAAACGAAAAAGTGGTTAGGTTTTGAAGTGCGTGAGCTTTTTTTTTTTTTTTAGCTACGCTTATAAGTAATATATGACTAATTCAAACATATTTGTGCGCCGCTGGGATGAAAACGACCAATATCTCGTATCTCGAGTGATCACTCGATTACCGATAACTCGATTATTAAAATTGGTCGATTATGCCCGTCACTAGTCTTTTCCGTTGCCATGCAGAGTCCTCTTGTCACAAGCTACTCCCTGACTTGTCCCGTGGCGGTATATATATCTCTGTTTAATTTCTCTGCGTTCCTCCCGCTCACAACCAATGCCAGATCGTCCGTGAAGCCTATAGTAGTTACTGATGCCGGCAATCGTAGATCTAACACCCCATCATAATAAAGGTGCCACAATATGGGTCCTAAAGCTGAACCCTGTGGGACCCCCATCTATGGAGGTATCCCCTGCGACCCATATCTTTCTTTTTTCGAGATAGCTCTTTATTACTTCGATCAGATATGCGCTAATGCCAGTATTTTCCAGAGCCTCAACTAAAAGTTTCCACATTGCTTTATTAAATGAATTCTTAACATCGAGCGTTAGGAGAACGCATAGCTCTCTCCTTCTATATGCACCACTATTTATGAAGGTGGCGATCATCCTGACCATCTCCAGGGCATCTACCGTGCATCTTTTTTTTCTAAATCCATATTGGAATTCCGCCAGACCTCCATGTCTATCGATTTCTACCCTTCCTCCCTCTTCCGCAACCAATCACCACGGAACCGCCTTTCGGCATTACTTCATGACTGATGGGTTGACTGATTCCGTCATATTACCATTGGTCAGTTACGTGACCACTAATACGTTTAACTACATATAAAAATAAAAACAACCTACCTAATCATACATGTCAAAGACGCGCAAAGACGTTTAAGATTTCATCTAACAAAGACAACCTTCGAAGCGAGAAACAGTTGAAATGGATTACTCTTCTATAATGCCTCTCTGACTTCTTCACGTTGCCTCAATCTTTCCTCTTTCTCCTTGATCTCTATAATCGATTCCAAGCTTCTACTAATACAGTTCCACATAATTTCGCAGGATAGCATTATGTGAATAAGATTCTCTGGACTTATCTCCTCTCCAACCGACAGAGATACNTATAGGTACATAGAGTCAAAACTTCTCTCACTTGAGGATATCATAAAGAGTTTCCAGCTGAGTTAGTGCTTGACGTACTACGAACGCGTTTTAAACTCTTACTGGCGGCATGCACAATGGGTCATAATAACCTTCGTTGTAGGTGACCACACCCCGTTATATAACTGAAATGAAGTAATATTGCTATGTTCGTTATTACAAGAAACTGTCTAATTGTAAGAGAGACAAAAACATTTAACCGACAATCTGCCTTGGATGTAAATTGAAAAAATTACGTAGAACTTTTTTCAATATTTCTATTTGTACCTTTGCTAAAATTGTTGCTTAACGATGTTCGAAAGATTAGAAGAAAAATTTTCTAAGATAAGTATCTAAGTTACTATAAATAATGATCCTTGACTAATGTTATGCTACAGTATACATATGATTAATGATATTGAATAGCACAGGGTTTTCTTTATTGGTATTAAAATAAAATTATTATTACGATTTTGCTTAAGGGTATTCTATTAACAAATCATACAGCGTACACAAGGCAGATTGGTTCTAAACTACAATCCATTAAAATGTAATCATTTACTAGTGGCGAAAAAGGTCTTCATTTGGCACTTAAAATTCGATGTGTAACATAGCACATCGAATTATAAAATGTAGTTTATTAATTGACTCTTATTGAACGGATATTTAATAATATATTGACGTAGATGAAATATTTCTTAATGCAACGCATAGTTTTTTCAGTATTTTTAACTTAACTTATTTACTTATTAGTAAAAAATTTATTATGTTCAGGTTTTATTTTCACGATTTTTTAAATAAATTACTTAGTTGGTTTTGCGCCTTTTTTTAAATTGTGTATTATAAAAACTAAGTGATCAAATCGAAACTGGAAGGTTGTTTATCTGGAGAAATCCAATTAGTTGTGTTATAAAACAGTTTCTTGTAGTCAAAAACAGCTTCTCTGATTTCATTTGGTAGTGATGGCATTTCATTCAAAATTCATCTCATATCGTGAACTCATTAAGGGTACACGGCATCATTATAAAATCTCCTGTCAGGTATAATATTTTGCATAATACTAAAACAGTTCATTTACTGCATTTTGTTTTTGCATAATAAGGCTCTGCTAATATGAGGTATTCGTGGTAATGATTTTGGAATTTATTTTTAACATACACGCATCAACATAATTTAGAACACAGTCATCTTAAATAAGTGAGTATTTTGTTGAAGAAAAACAATAAAAAAATTTTTATTCTTATGTTATGGTAACAATGAGTGACTTTTATAAACAATACGTTAACTGGATATATGAAATGTCTGTACCTGGAATTGGAGCAAGAAAGTGTATCACGTATCTGTGAAAAATATTAAAAAATCCAAACCTATACACGGGGTGTTTGTGAAACTAGTTATGCTCCAAACTTCTTCAGCAGTCTAAGTCGAAACGTTTCTATAAACCTAGTGTGATTTAATTACAAATTAGTTAGCTTAGCAGACTGATAATTTTGGAAAAAAAATACAGCTTCATGTCTTGGAGGGAGATACAGAGAGTTGAAGCTTTAAATAATTTGAATTTTTTCACAAATAACGAAGTTATTCGATGTACAGTACTAACTCTAGGTAACATAAACATTGTGTTTGAAAGAATGACCTTTGCCAGGCATAAAGGCAATTGTTACTGTATAAAATGAAATAACAAACGTTTTCAATAGCCTTTAATCCTATTAAACGTACTGATCAATTTTTGAAAAAAAGAAAAATGGGACATATGTCTCTTACTTCTCGACGATTCATCACCATATTTATTGTAACATTCTCAGGATACTACAGAAAAATTTAGGTACACAACAAATTTTATGAAACTAAAATTTTGTTGTAGTGTAAGGGATATGGATAAATAACAAAAATTGTGTTCTCTTTAAAACTTCCTGCTTACAAATTTCCACTATTGACCGGCAGTACTAATGAAATTATAATTCGAATGAATCAGCTTTTACTTTTAAAATAAATAAAAAATTTTCAAATGAACAAGGATCTATGTGGCTCTAATTTTGTAAATATTATCACTTAACAGACAAAATTAAGAAATTAAGAACAACAGTAACGAATATGAAAAAACAGCATAGTTTATTAGTTGTACAACGAGACTAGGAAAACATTAGTTGTACAACGAGACTAGAAAAACACAGTGAAGCATTTAAATCTGTAATGTGAGTAACATATAAACAATATACGTAGATTTAATTTTAATTTAAAATTTTCTTTTTCGCATGTTATGTACAGGTTGTTGGTTGTTGCGTTTCTTGTTCATTCACCATATTTTGTTATTTTATTATTTATTATATAAAAACATTTTGTTTGTGTAATTTTAATACTTTTCTTTTTAAATTTGTGACATATCAAAATTGTTAGTGTGTCTGTATTTGTAATTTTTTTTTTTTTTTCATGTTTATATAGATATAACTGTATTCATTTTATTGTAATGTTTTAGACACACTTTTTTAATTTTTTAATATTTTAATGTTAAGTTTGTTATTTATAAATTGTGATGTAATTTTGATATTATTAAATTTTATAGTGTCCTGAGGATGTCACGATAAGTGACGAAACGTCGACAATTGAGAAAATTTGCTGTTTTTCTTTGAAATTTGGCCTCTAATCTTCCCACTATTGACAACAAACTGAATAAAAATAAGGCTACCAATATCATTAGTTAGAGCATAGTTTATGATTCAGATTCAAATATTCTATACAAAAACTATAACAAATTAATTCAAATGTTATACAGGGCCCTAATATTACTTTACCTATCGCTTTCAAATATTTTGTGATAACCTAGGTACACTGTGTATTTGACGCATGTCAAAAATGTTAATTAGCAACTTTTCGAAGTCATTCGATTTCTATAAACATTTCACAAAAGTTGCTGTTTTTATTGCAATATGCTACACTCATGCTACTTTGCAACCATCATCAGCAAAACTGATTCAGACTGCTATAAGTAGGAAAGAATTGATTTTCAGACCCAAGTATGGTGGAGACTTTTAGTCTGTAACGCAAAACCGACAACTTACCACAATTTCAATTAATTTTACCGAGCTCATATTTTCATAAAGACCGTGCGGAGTCCTTTGAATTCGGACAAATCCCTTTGTTAGGGAAACATCTATATTCTTTAATTTAACTTCAAGACACCATTCCATTTTTTATGTCTCCATACAGCAAACTGAAATTTAAATTTTTATGGAATGTACTAAAAAATTAAACCACCCTATATATATAGGTGACTTACTATTTAGCGTTTCTTACACTGAAGTTCAAATGAAACTAATTGTTTTTCATT